CAAAAATTAATTTTTGAAAAAATTTTTTTTTTTGAAATTTAAAAAATTTTCAAAATTTCAAAATTTCAGATTGATTCTCATATAATTCTAAAGTGGTTGGATACGGGAGACCGTCGATTTTCGAGTGAAAACATCTCGAAAAAAGCCTACGCGATTTTGAAATTGTATTTTTTGTGCCGAAGTCGAAAAGCGAAATTGGAGGTGACATTTTGAGATTCTGAGCGTAAAATTGGCCATTTTTGACTCAAAATTAGTTATTTTTGACCTAAAATTGGTCACTTTTGACACAAAATTAGTCATTTTTGACCCAAAATTAGTCATTTTTGACCCAAAATTAGTCATTTTTGACCCGAAATTAGTCATTTTTGACCCAAAATTAGTCATTTTTGACCCAAAATTAGTCATTCTTGATCTAAAATTGGTTATTTTTGACCCAAATTGGCCATTTTTGGTCCAAAATTGATAATTCTGTCCGAATTTCGCCACTTTTTGACCCAAAATCGGTCATTTTTGACCCAAAATTAATCATTTTTGATTCGAAAATTGGTCATTTTTGACCAAAAAATGCCCTTTTTTGACCCAAAATTGGTCAAATTTGCCATTTTTGACCCAAAAATTCTAGAATCTTCCAGTGTTTCCCCTGTGGATGTGTCCAAAAAATGTACATCGAGCTTTACACGGAAAATTCGAATACCCGCCTAATTGGAGCCCTAAACTCGTTGATTACCGGGAAATTGGCAGATTTGGATCCAGTTGTCAAAAGTGAGAAAATTTGAATATTTCAAATTTCGCGGAATTTTTTGAAATTGAATTCCCGCCGAAAGTGCAAATGCGCTCCATTGAAAAATCCGCGAAAATCGCTCAAAACTCGTCCAATTTTCGCCGTTTTTAAGCGGGTTTTAAGAGAATTCTCAGTAGAGCGCGCTTGCCAAAATAGAAAATTTTCAAAAAATGCTACAAAAATGAGTAATCTTCAGGACTGTTCCTCGAAATGCAGCAAATTCGCCCCATCGAATACTACGAGTACTACATTGAGCTGCTCGGCGAGCTGCAAATGTGCTCTGTTATCGATAAAACCGATGAGAAACAGTTGCCACGTGTCATTCAGCTGATTGGATTACTGTCAGAATTAAAACTACAAGACGTCCCAAAAGCATGTGGAAAGCTGTACTATTTGATGGGGACCATGAAAGGAGATGGCAAGAAGGTATGGCAATTGCGCTCTATTGAGAATCACCTGAAAATTTGTTTTAAAGTATTGAAAATTGGACGATTTTCAAGTGATTTTCCAGGGTTCTCCAGTGGAGCGCATTTGCATTTTTTTTTCGAAAAATTCAAAATGCTTCAAAAAATGCAACAGCGCTCCATTGAGAATTCCCTTAAAAATTGCTTTAAAATAGTAAAAATTAGACGATTTTCAAGTGATTTTCCAGGGCTTTCCAGTGGAGCGCATTTGCATTTTTTTCGAAAAATTCAAATTTCTTAAAAAATGCAAGGGCGCTCGATTGAGAATTCCCTCAAAATTTGCTTTAGAATTGTAAAAATTGAACGATTTGCAAGTGATTTTCAAGGGTTTTCCAATGGAGCGAATTTGCATTTTTGATATAGAAAAATTCGAAAAAAAATGCAAGGGCGCTCCATTGAAAATTGCTTTAAAATAGTGAAAATTTGACGTTTTTGAGCGATTTTCAAAAATTTTCCACTGGAGCGTATTTGCAAAATTTTTCAAAAAAATCGAAATTCTTCAAAAATGCAAATGCGCTCCATTGAGAATTCCCAAAAAAATTCATTAAAAATAGTAAAAATTGGACGATTCTTGAGCGATTTTCATGAATTTTCCAATAGAGCGCATTTACTTTTTTTTTTCGAAAAATTCAAAATTCTTTAAAAAATGCAAAGGCGCTCCATTGAGAATCCTTTTAAAATTCGTTAAAAACAGTATAAAATAAACGATTTTCGAGCGATTTTCAATGATTTTCCAATGGAGCGCATTTGCATTTTTAGTTTTAAAAATTTGCGAATTTTTATAAATTTCTAAATAAAAATGCAAGGGCGCTCCATTGAGAATTCCTTTGAAATTTGCTTTATAGTAGTGAAAATCGGACGATTTTTAAGCGATTTTCAAGAATTTCCCAATGGAGCGCATTTGCATTTTTCGAAAAATTCTAAATTTAAAAAAAAATGCAAGGGCGCTCCATTGAGAATTACCTTAAAATTTGCTTTAAAATAGTGAAAATTAATCAATTTTCGAGCGATTTTCATAAATTTTCCAATAGAGCGCGTATGCATTTTTATATTCAAAAAATTCGAGATTTCAGAAGTCGTCAGTCATGGATAACGCCGTCAAAAGTAAACTCCTACCCAAAATTTTTGATTCGATAATTTTATCGGCGGGAGGTTCGAAAATTTTGAATTTATCTCGAAATTCTGTTCACAAAATGGTGGAATTGGTGATCAATGAAAAGTATTCGTATGCTGAACAAGCCACTATCTCATTCGCTCCATTGCAATTTTTGAATCGCATTTTTCAAGGTTTTTTTTCGATGTGGCAAGTGCGCTCTACTGAGAATCCCAGTATCGCTTTAAACGGTGAAAATTGGACGATTTTTGAGCGATTTTCAGGGATTTTCCAATGGAGCGCGTTTGCATTTCCGTTCTTAAAAATCCAATTTTTTGCAGAATTCGAAATATGGGAAAAATCATGGGCGGCACTGAAAAATCGGCTGGATTCGTTTAAGATGAGCAATCCACAAGCGCCAATCGTTTTTCTTTATTTTCTGAGCTTGATTTATAGAAATGGTGCGTTAGAGCGAATTTGCATTTTGGCGGGAATTCAAAAATTTGAATTTCTCAGATCAATCACTGATCGGGTGTCTAGTGGAGTTTCTGGAACTACAGTACCACCAGAATTCTGAGAATAGTGAAATTAAGGTGAGCAATGGGGGAAGTTTTGGGATTTTTGAAAAATCTGAATTTTCGATTTTCAGAAAATTCCAGAAAAATAATTTTCAAAAAAATTTTTTTTTGATTTTTCAGATTCTTCGATTTTCAGAAAATTTGAATGTTTTTAATTTTTCAGAGGTTTCAGATTTACGTAATTTCAGAATTTTCGAATTTTCAGCATTTTTCGAAAATTCTGAATTCTGAAATTTTGATTTTTTCAGATTTTTGAAATAAAAAATTAAAATTTCGATTTTCAGAAATTTTCGGAAATTTTAAAATTTTGAATATCTAAAATTTCAAATTTTCGATTTTTTAGAAATTTCCGAATTTCTGAATTTCTGGAATTCTGAAATTCTGTATTTCTGAAATTTTGATTTTCTGGAATTCTGAATTTTTGAATTTCTGATTTACTGAATTTCTGAATTTCTGGATTTCTGAATTTCTGAATTCCCGAATTTCTGAATTCCCGAATTCCCGAATTTCTGAATTTCTGAATTTCTGGAATTCTGAATTTCTGGAATTCTGTATTTCTGAAATTTTGATGTTTTGGAATTCTAAATTTTTAAATTTCTGTATTTTCTGAATTTTTGAATTTCTGCATTTCTGAATTTCTGAAATTCCTGAATTCCTGAATTTTCCATTTTTCCATTTTTTCGATTTCCAGATTATTTTGAATTTTCGATTTTTCGATTTTCTAAAATTCCAATATTTTTTCTAGAAAACTATACTAATCCTTCTGGAAATCATGGAAAGCCTCGGTGACTCCGCCCCCTCGATCAATCAATATTTCAAAGAGAATCATCCGAAGAATCGTCTGCTTCTAGACGAATCCGAAGAGCTGGAAATCGTTTTGGACCATTTTCAGAACTTTTCAAACGCTGAAATCAATCAATTCCTAGCCAAAAAATCGTTTTGCAATTCGGAATTTTCGATTTTAATCGACAAATTGAAGGATGATTTGAATTTTTCGATCACTTCTGATACATTTTGGAGGATTCTACTCGAAAAAATCGATGAGAATTCGATGATTTTTATTGAAAATCAACTGAAAATGCTCATAAATCGACAGGATCGAAAATCGATTCAGACGAAAATTGAGCAGATTTTTCGCAAAATTTTGAAGAATTTCGAAGAGAAATCGACGAAAAAATTGGAGCTGGTCTTGCTGAAATTCCCGAAAATCTTGTTTGATTTTAACGATGAGCAATGGAGATTGATGCCGCCGACGACGACGATTTCATTGGTTTCTACGCTGATTTTTGGATTTTCAGCGATTTTTGAGGGGAATGGTAATTTTTAGTTTTGGAGTTTTTTTTTTTGAAAATTCTAAAAATTCAAATTTTCTAGAAATTTTTTTCAGATTTTCATCAAATTTCAGGATTTTCAAAATCTCGAATTTTCAGAAATTCCAAAAAAGTGCTGAAAATTGAAATTTCGGACTTTTGGAAATTTTCAAATTACGCAGAATTCAGTGAATTTTCAACGTTTTTTTTTACATTTATGAAGATCTAAAAAATTCGAAAATTTCAAGATTTTTTGAAACCTGAAATTCGACATTTCTGGAAATTTCACAAAAAATTCGCAAAACATTTTTTTTTTGAATTTTTTGTAATTTAGCAAAACTTAGGCCACCACTTCAAAATGGCCTAGAAATTACACCAAATGAATACCAGGTCATTTCTAAACCATTTTGAAGTGGTGGCCTAGAAAACAAACATTGCAAAAGTTAGGCCATCAAGCGAAAATGGCCTAGAAATTATACCAAATGAATAACCGGTAAATTTTATGCCAAAAAAGTTGGTTGCCTAGAAAACTCACTTTGCGAAAGTTAGGCCACCACGTCAAAATGGTCTAGAAATCACACCAAATGAATATCGGGTCATTTCTAAGCCGTTTTGAAGTGGTGGCCGAGCTTTTGCAAACAGAGATTTCAAGGCCACCAACTTTTTTTTTGCCAAAAAATGACCTGATATTCATTTGTTGTGATTTCTGGGCCATTTTTACATGGTGGACTAACTTTTGCTAGTTACGTTTTCTAGGCGGCCACTTCAAAATGGCCTAGAAATGGCCTAACACGACTCTGGTCTGTTTTCTAGGTCATTTTGAAGTGGTGGCCGAACTTTTGCTAATTTGTTTTTACAAAAAATTCCTAAAATAATTTTTTTGCGAATTTTCAAAATTTCCAGAAATGTCGAATTTCAGATTTCAAAAATCTTCTTGAAAATTTCATTTGGTGTAATTTCTAGAAATTTCTGAAATTTCTGAAAATCTTAAAATTTCTGAAATTTGAAATATATGAGAATTCCAAAAATTCCTAATTTCCAAAATTATGGAATTTTTAAAAATTTTGAAATCCATCGAATTCTCAATTTCCCATTTTCCTAATTTCTCCGAATTTCAAAAATTTTCAAAAATCTGAATTTTCAGATTTAGTTTTTAATTTCTGAAATTTTTTCAATTTTCCAGAATCCCAAATCACTTGTCTCCTCCAACAACTCCTCTCAAAAATCACCGCTTCTCCTCCGATTTCCAATTCAAATCCACTGAAAATTCTAGAAGAAATTATTGAAAAAATCCGCGAAAATCGATTTCCAGGAAGTCTCGAAATTGGATTTTTAAAGGAAATTTACGATGAAAATCCCGAGAATTTGCAGAAAAAGGAGCGAATTCTGCAAATTTCGGCGATTTTATTCGAAAAACTGGCGGCGGAACTTCAAAGATCGGGCGATACGAACGGAAAAGCGCCATTCTGTCAGATTTCAACGATTATCGATGATTATTTGAAGAAGGTTGGGCGGCGGGAAAACGAAATTATTCAAAATTTTGAAATTTTGCAAACAATTTCGCTAAAAACGATGCGAGGCTATGTATTGATGTGGACCGAAAAATGGAATTGGCTCTTTGTTTCGAGGAAAATTTGGACGATTTTAAGCACTGCGAAAACGATGGATTCGGAATTTTTGAAGGAATTGATGGAGGTTTTGAATCAGAATCAGGTGAAAAATGGGGTTTTTTTTATCGGAAAATCTGAAAGTTTTGAAAAAAAAAGTGGCTGAAAATGGTCGGAATTGGCTGAAAATTTTCGAATTTTTGATTTTTTTGGCTTCAGAACCATTTCAGTATGTTTTTGACATCAGAAATGAGCTCAAAATCAATTTTTTAGTCTAGAAACTTGAGACCGTACGAATCGGGGAGACACCCAAAAGCGGGAGACACGAAAGCGGGAGACGAAATTGCTTACCGTACCACCGTTAATTCCCAA